GAAATCCTATAACTAAAAGTCCATATATCACATGTATTCTATTCACAACTTTAAAGTTATCTTTAAAATAATTTCACATAACATTTTGAACAAGCACTCATAGAAAGTAGTATTTTCGGTGAACATAACTACTTCTCATGAAATACTCAGAAAATACTCATGAAAATAAGTCAGGGGAGCAATATCATGTTACCTGACTCAGCACACATTGGAGTCAAAATAGATGTTATCTATCACTGTGAATGCTACAACATATTATAGTCACAATAATACACACCTGAAACTGAAGTTAGGTCCAATGAATTCAAGAAAAAGAAGGTAACATGTACTGAGTGCTTATAATAGACTAAACATATACTAAGACTTAAACGCTTTAAGGTAGAGATTACTAGATGAGTTGAAGAAATAACAAGAACATAAATGTTTACCAGTATCTAAAACTGTGACCACTTCAATGAAAGGCAGTTATAGTTAGGGATGATATGATTTTTCAGATGATAAAATCTACGCTGTCCAAAGTCACCAAGATGGTGCCTGAAGAAAAATCAGACTTCAATTTCAAAGCTAACTTCCAGGTATACATTTACTAGTCTCAAAGCAAATATCTATTAAAAAATACTTTCCTGCCCAGTAGTTTCATGGAAGACTGAGTAATAAAACTTTAGGCATGTGACTCTTTCAACTTTATTCCTAAGATTTGAAAACCAATTACAAAAAAAGATAGTCCTATGAGTGATTGGAATTTCTTATACATTACTCTTACTATTTAGCCTTGAATTTATTAAAAGATTGTGAGCAATTTCACCCTCGGGACAATCAGCCACACTCAACCAGAGAGAACAGGCAGATATCTTCAGATCTTCAGATAAGTGGCTATGCCTGGCTCTAACCCACTGATACTATTCTTCTGGGGTGTCACTAGTATATCTGACTAGTGAAACCCACTGCACTTTTTTATTTAACATTCAAAGTCTTCTAAAATTCATATGCCAGATGGTACCACCCTTTTATGCCCTAAAGGAAATTTTACTCAGAGTACTTAATTAGAAAATAAAAATTACCTATTAATGCAAGCCTCTAAGCTCTAATTTGATAATACAGTATTTTAAACAATCTTTATCTTTAAAATGAACTTAATGAATATGCTGATTTGAATTGAGAGACATATATTTGACCTTAATATCCAGTATTAACTACTTGAGCATCATCGGTGACAGTCCAAATTTCCAATGCATAAGGTATAAATTTTCTATGCTGAATATTCTTCTGTGAGGGCATTGCATTTTTATACCAGTAACACAAAAACATATCCTGTTCACTGATGAATAGAAACAGAGAGTTCTAGAAATACTCTCAACATGAAATTAATCAACTGCATTATTTAACACAGGAGTTTATATTTCAAATCTTCAGAGTAAATTTTAAAATAAAACCTTCCCCACAGGTCCTCTTTGACCCAAATGTACTCAGGCTACCCACAAAAATTCACAGTGTAAAAAATAATCCAGTATGACAACCTCTTAAAGCCATGAAATTCTTGGAGCCCAAAGACCCTAAGTGATGTCATCTGACTAAATACAGTTCACTACTGGAGTGTAAGCAAGAAAAGCTAGTAAAAATATTTTAATGATTGTCACTTAGGAAAGTGGGGCCAGCTGATGCTAGTGCCAGCAACTTGCAGGATCCACTACATGTTCTAAGAGCCAACTAGCACTGCCAACTTTAACAATCCATTAAGGCCAGACCTACCTCAGCACCAGACTTTTCCCCACTTCTGTTTCTGTATTTGTTCCATCTAACTTTCATTGTGGGCATTATACCAGCTGTCATGCTAATGACTTGTGTGACAATGAACTTCTGTTTTCCATCAGGAAGATAATCTCCAAAATCTACCTTAATGTTATAAATTATAGAACCCTTCAAACTCTGAATCCAAAGTCTCAATTTTCAGTAATATAAATTCACAGCATCTTGAAAATGCAAGTGACTGGGACTCAACAAGGTAAATGAATCATGATGCTAACTAAGTTCAGAGATAACATCAATAGCTCTGAGTAGCTGTGAGGCCATGGGCAAGTTAGCAACCACTCTGTGCCCCACTTTTTTTTATCCTGTAAGTGAAGATGAAGCATGCGCCAACAAGATCATTAACAGAATTATCAATAAATGAGCAATGAAACAAACAAATAAATAAATGAGCAAGGTAAAAAAGTGCCTGGGTTGCTAAGCTTTCAGAGAAATTCCCAAAGAGACTACAAAAAGGTAGGTGCTGCTTCTCTACAAAACCCCAAAAATCTCATCACTGATCTACAATGTTACACAACTCCTCTCAGAAAAGACTTCACATTAACAAATAATTAAATGTAGGGTTATAGGTTATAAAGACTCAAGGGAACAACAGAGAAATGATGGCATTTCAAAAAAGTAGTCAAAAGGTAATCTAACATGACTTTTGATCTTTAGACCTTATAAAAACAACTGGACTGATTCTCATAGTTGTCTTGTTGAGGAAGGAAAACATTGCACAGAATATTTATCTTCTGTTTATCTAAGCAAATTATGTTCACAAAATTAAACCCAATAAAATATTTAAATATATACCATACCCATTTCCTGAGGTTTGGTTTAGCTATATCATTTGTAAAATTTAAGCTAATAATTAAAGTTCATTTCTTTCCTAGGGCAAAAGAGTTAACCTCATTCCGTAGGAAATTTCTTATATTTTAAAAGAGAAATGCTAATTTCTCAAAGGGAACTTTTTTTAATTTGTGTGTGTGTTTGTGTGTGCATGAAATGAGATGTAGGCCAGAGGTACAGGGGTTAAGAGGACTCAGAGACAGAGTGGGGAGCAGAACAGGTGGTTCTACTGAAACACAGTGCTGAGGGGAACAGAGGGTGAAACAGGAGATGTCCGCAGTGCTGTGTAGGTCACCTCCCTAGCTGGGGATCAAACTCTTGCAGCAGTGGCTGGTGATAGCTTGATAGTGCCGACTTTAACCTCTGTACCAAGAGGGAGGCCCAGGAAAGACAAATTTTTAACAGCTTGAACATTGGTCAAAACAGATTAAACTGATACAGCAATTATCAGATATGATATATTCCATAGCATTAAATATTTTAATGCTAAAAAGACAGTTTTCACTGGCAAGCCCATCACAATCACTTATTGTGACAAACTCTTTCTGTATTGCATAGCTTCCCAGAGATTGTGGTAGATACTCCCCAAGATAGCTTACAGGTGAAAAGTGAAACTTACTGCCCTATCAAGTCAATGTCATGTAAGACAATGAATGACATACTCCTCTGATATGCTAAAGAGAAAAAATCTTAGAACCAACTGTTTTAACAGAAAAAAAATTTTGGGAAAATGAAGGAGGAAATTCTAGATCAGACTATGGATCAGCCTGAAGCAAAAATAAGTATCTGCCCTCCTGTGCTTTATTTTTTATGTGAGGGGCTCTACAATCTATGTATTGAATTTATGCACATCTACTCAGAAGGCCACAAAAGAATGCTTGAGTCTCTACTTCACATGAATAAAACCACTCCCCCCAAAGTTCATTATTACTAGACACCACAGAGGATTAATAACATAATAGAATAGATTTTGTGTGTTAAGTATTTATCTGGTTAGCAATCTCTACTCTAACACGTAATTTAATTTCCCAATTGATCGTAAGAATTTGCTATCATAACCATCTTCACCATAACCATACCATATTCACCATGACAAAGTAGGTTTGTTCTCTGATACTAATTCGTAAGGCTTATTAATTTCTCACTGATTAAATAAAAAGCAAAGCATAAACTCACATTATTAATGTAGTTAATGCATGAGTTACCTGAATATCTATGGCTCCATCTCTCAAATATAACCTAAGTCATAAAATAATCTATAGGTACAAAAAAGCTCAAGTACATTCTCTAAATGAAAGTAGTGGAAAAATTTGAGAGAAGATATTTCCCAGTACCCAAGCAATTAGCTTCTAATAAAAGCAAATAATGATGACTCTATTTATGCTTTGTAATAAGAAAGTAATAAATCATCAATCACAACTTGAAAGTTATGTGACAATTCAGTGCAGCAGTTATTTATAAGACAATCATATGGTACAAATATTGATCTTATTAGAACATTTACTCATAATAGGAAACATGAAGGAATGAATTTAATTGGCATTCCAAAAGTCTAAGACACTAAGTAAATTCCAGAGAATAGACGGAATTAGCAAAATATTAATTGAAAATATTCATCTTATTCCAGAAAATTGAGGAATTTTTTCTTTTTACATCCTCATGGAAGAACAATTAGAAATTCTTGAAAGGGCAATTTTGATATATCTAGCAAAATTCTAAGTGCACATATTCATTAGCACAGCAATTCTATTTCCAAGAATAGTACATAATACACAAAAATATGTGTACAATAGTAAATCACTGCTATACCTCATGTATCAACAGCTAAAATGGAACATTAACTATTCAAAAAATGAGGTAGAGTCAAATAGAAGATACTATAACACATCTTATTCAATGAAAAAGTGTTGCATACATTTTATGATTCCAGTTTTTAAAGTAACCAAATGTAATTTTATACAGAAAATGTAAAGAAAGATATGTAAGAAACTCTCAAAACTGTTACTTCTTTGAAATGAGACTGAGAAGGGTAATGAGACAGGAGTTTTACTATTTACTCAATAAGGATATATTACTTTAAAGCAAACCATCCTTAAAATTCTTAACTCCCCATGATAAGTATCTAGGTATCTGTAGCCCAAATTTAATGAGTTTCATTTTAATCAATGTTCTGAATTCTTCACTCTGTCTTAAAGCTTTCAAATTCAATAGGGCAAAGTCTGTTGTGGATAACCTAATTAGCAATTCATGTGACATGTTGGCCTATACTACAAAATGGTAAGTAGTCTAAAAGTCAAAGCTGTTCACATAGCCCTACTCCTCAAAAAGTAAGAGAAAATGGAGATAAATGTAAACATCCTTACTTGTTCTATAGTACCCGCCTGTCCGTTAGTATATTCTCGATACTGTCCAAGCATCTGATCTACTTGACGCAGGTTCCGACTGGTGTCCTTTGGAAAGAAAAATGGATTGTTCTAAACAATAATTGACCTTAGCAGTATGTCAAAAAAAAATCACCACCAAACAGTATTTGGCATAATTCATACCATAGTTTTAAGTTGGATATCCATGTACTTACTAAATGTCAAATCTTAACACCCTTGAGAGAGAAGCTCAAATTCATCTGCAGTTTACCTGTATGAAACCTGAAGTACATCATTTAAATCCTCAGCCAAGACTTCATAATAAGTCAACTATAAAAACATAAAGTATCAATTGGTATATCTCAACTAATTGACACCCTCTTTATAAAAAAGGAATGCTGAAAGGGCAACTCTAATAAATTGTGTATAAACACAGACAATAAGGTCAATGTTATTTCTGTTAATTCACCTCAGAACTTATTAGAAGAAAAAAGTATCTTTTAACCATTAGCTATAAACAAGTTTAGTTCTAATCACAACAAAAATTCATTCCCAGATGAATATGCTAGATTTCACCTCAGAGGTAATGGAGACATTTCTTTAAAAATATACTTGACAAGGAGGGGCCTTCCTGGTACCACAGGGATTAAAGTCTCAGTGACATCAAGCTATTGCCAACCACTATGGCATGCATTCAAGGCATGGGTTTGATCAATGGCTGGGAAGCTACCCACCTCTCCCTAACCCCCCCCCCATGGCACAGCAGATGCTCCCCTCAGCAGTATAGTTCAGTAGATTCACCTGTTCTGCTCCCCACTCTGTCTCTGATGAATCATTCCCAACACACCCCACACCTCTGACCTACACCCCAGTTTTTATATGCCTAAGTAAATAAATCTTTAAAAAAAAAAAATATATATATATATATATATATAACTAGTATGGGTAACAGGTGGGAAAGTAAAAGGATTTGTACTCTAAAAATCCATTATTATATTAATATGAGTTTAAAAAGTCTTTGAGTTTAAAATCAAATTACAGCCTTTCTACCAGAAATTAACCTTTTCTTAGCTAAACATACAACCCAAAGCAATTAAAAAACTAAAATCCATGCTTATCCAGTCAAACCAAAAGTAAGAGATTAATGAGTAGGGGAAAAAAGTCCTGAGTTTTCTTCCCGGTGTGACTGTGTGACCCTCTGTCTACTTCTTTTTCCAAGCCCTTTCAGTACAAGGAATGAAAACTACCTCAATTCAAACTTCACTGCTAAAGGTCAACCTAAAATTATCATATTTAAATCAAAATGTTATCCAAATATTCATCATCTGTGAATAATCTACCTAGCCAAAATACGAGCAACTGAGCAACTTCTCTAAAGGTACATGTACATGAGAAACTAAACTATAAAAATTCCTACTGGTTTCAACCCCACTGTGTGTGTGTGTGTGTGTGTGTATTATATTACCTTATATTACTTTAATACATAAATATATATATATATACACACATACATTACCTTATCCTAAAACATTGCCAAAACCTACCATATAAATCAATAATTTTACTAACTCTGTTAAAACAACAGTCCCTAAAGATGTCCTAGCCTAATCCCCAGAATCTAAGCAAACATTACCTTACATGGTAAAAGCAATTTTATAAATTTGAGTAAAGATTGTGAAATAGGGAAATTATTCTGGTTTACTGGATGGACCCAATGTAAGTAGTCACATAGCGCCTTTCATCAGAACACAGATGCAAAGAGCCCTGCGTAGTGGCTCAACAGGTTAAAGCACAGCACTATGAAGTTAGCAGCAGTATCTTCAGCATGAATACGATCCCTGCCCAAGAAGGTGACCCATATGGTGCAGCAGACCTCTCCTGTCTCACCCACTGCTCTCCTCAGCAATGTAGTTTGTCAGTCTAGCTGTTCTGTTCTCACTCTGTCTCTGGTGAATCCTCTCACCACCTCTGGCCTGTGCCCCAGTTCTGTATGTATAAATAAGTAAATCTTTAAAAAAAAAAAAAAAGAGCACAGAAGCAGTAAAGTTAGGGATGGATGTGAAAAAGGACTCAATCCACACTTAAAGGGTTAGAAAATGAAAGAAGGAGGCCACAAGATAAGAAATGTGGGCAGCCTGGGGAAGCTGGAAAAGGAAAAGAACAGATAAGTGCTATGGTCTCCTAAAAGAACACAGTCCTACTGGCATTCTAATTTTAGAGGAATGAGACCAGTGTCAGATTCTGACCTAAAAAACAGTAAAAAAAAAAAAAAATAATAATTTTAAGGCATTGGTTTTGTGGTAATTTCTTACAGCAGCAAGAAAACATTAATGCAACTGATCAAAACTATCTCTCAACTTAAACTACACAAAAATCTAAACAGGAGCATTATAACTGACCTGTAAAGTACTTGTTATAGTGTTGACCTTCTCGGTGACATTTACCGTAGGGCGATTTCGAGAGTCTCTGTATATTGACCTGGTAGTCCATCGATTCAGTCGGTCACGAGAGCGGAAGTGGTCTGAATCGCTGGAGGATTCTGCCATTGATGTACACAAGTCCTAAAAACACAGCCAAGGTAGAAATGGTAGAGTATATGGAAATAACAGATCAATTTATTTACTTCTTCATCTGTTTAAGTATTTATTACTTTAGACCTTTAGCATATTGTAATTTCTATACATGTAGCTTAAACACATAACTCATTTCCCATGTAAATCTCCTTGTTTATGTGTGTGGTATTTTTGGTTTCCCTTTTTTACTTTAAGAAATTCCTCAGACACTAGTCATGCTTACAAAATAAAATCCTTCAATTTTGTGCAACACTGTTAATTAAAAGCACTTCCACGCACAGATTCTCACCTAACCCTACCAAAGACACTGTAAAGTAGATGAGAAAGATAGATTAGTGCCCCTATGCTTAAGAAAAACTCAGATATCCTTTAAGACTAGAACATATGGACCTCAATATTAGGTTGCTGTCCATTTTATTAAGTCATAAAGCACTCACATCAATTTTTTTTAAAGATTTATTTATTTATGCATACAGAACTGGGATGCAGACCAGAGGTGCAGGAGCGGTGAGAGGATTCACCAGAGACAGAGTGGGGAGCAGAACAGGCCCACTGATAAAGTACACTGCTGAGGGAAGCAGTGAGGGGTCAGGAGAAGTCTGTCCCACCATGTGGGTCACCTCCGGGGCAGGGATCAAACTCATGCTGAAGTGGATTTAGCTTCTCAGTGCTGTGCTTTAACCCACTGTGCCACTACGGAGGACCCACATCAATTTTTTTTAAGATTTATTTATTTATACATAGAAGAACTAGGGTGGGAGTGAAAGGATTCACCAGAGTCAGAGTGGGGAGCAGAACAGGCTACTTACTGAAATACACTGCTGAGGGGAGCAGCGGACGAAACAGGAGAGGTCCGGCGTGTGAGTCAGCTCCCTGGTTGGAGATGATACCCATGCCATAGTGGCTGGCAACAGCTTGACAGCACTGTGTCTTTAACCCCTGCACCACCAGGGAGGTACCAATCACTTGTATCTTTAAGCAAACGTCCAATTCAACACACAAAAAATGACTAAATAAGAGAATCCCAGTCATGTATAGTGGATACTGGTGCACCTTAAAGTACAGAATTAGAAAAATGCTGTCACAGAGATACAAATTCTAAAATAACATGCCAGAAGACGGCATGGTCAACATTTCCACCAAACTAGATTAAATGTCATCAGTAGAAAGTTCTCTTAATATGCTTCCTTCCCATCCTTAAGTCAATTTTCTACTTAATGCAAAAGAAAATTTCATGCAAGATAATCTCAAAAGTTTCAGAAAACCTTCTATAGAAGTTGGGAAATAGATTTGGAACCAGAATGAATCATAAAAAAAAAAAATTATTGATTAATTTCATTTTCTGTTTACATGCAAACTAATCTTTAACACTGGTATTATCTTCCTAAAATCCTATTGTTATTTTTTTCAGTTTATGAAATATATGGTATGGACGAAATCTTTGTTTAATGATCTAGAATATTCTAGACTTTCTGGAGCATTATTCTGAATACAACTGGGAAGTACATGACCATACATCTAAAGGGAAGTGGAGGGAGTTTGCTAGATCTGTATCTATAGATCCTAGAGCATTTAATGAAAAGAGTCATTTCTTTTAAATAGCAAGTCAAGTAAAACTAAATAAAAGATAAACAAGCAAGGTCTTTTGTTGTGAGTTAAATCTTTCCAAAGTGAAATATAGTCTATTCTTACAGCATCAGGAAGAAAACCTATGGACCATCTAACTTCTTTATACTAACTGGGATATGACTGAAGGGTACCTTGTCAAAGACTCATGCTGTTCCTCTCACCACACCCTTCAACTTCATTTCATGTCTATCTTCTTGGTTCTTGCCTCCCTTTTCCCATCTAGAAGTACAAAAGTGACCACTATGGAACTTCCCTCTCCACTTCTATCTGGAAACATGAACAGGACATTCCTGATCACAACTGCTTAAGTCTCAAAAATAAAAATTAAGAAATCCTAGGGTAGGCCCTCTCTGGTGGTGCAGCGGGTTAAAGCACTGCACTAAGAAGCTTAAGCCACTTCCGCATGAGTTTGATCCCCACCTGCCCCAGAGGTGACCACATGGCGAGGCAGACCTCTCCTGACCCGCCTGCTGCTCCCCTCAGCAGTGTACTTCGTTGAGTTGCCTGTTCTGCTCCCCACTCTGTCTCTGGTGAATCCTCTCACTCTCCGCATCTCTGGCCTGTACCCCAGTTCTATATGAATAAATCTTTAAAAAAAAAAAAGAAAAGAAATCCTAAGGTAAAGTTCACCTTTTAAACTCAGGAAATGACACTCTGTGTGTCTCATGAATCTATGCTACATGACCTAAAATCTTTTGCTTTAAGTAAACAAAATATTTTCTAGCATTTTCCACTACTGAAAGCAGGAATTCTTGAACCAACATCTTCTGAAAGCCTGCTCATATTCAAAATACTTTATGGATGCTGACAAATACAATCCACTTAAATTCTTAAATTTGACTTATTAAAGTAACCATCTTCCACCCCTAATTTTATAAATGCTGAGGCTAAGAGATGTTAAGTAACATATAAACTTCATACAGTGATCCTAAGTTAGGACTCATGATACAGACATGGGATCAGGAAGACACATCTGCCTTCACTAGTATCTTTATTCCACTCAGCTCTGCTGTCCCTTAAATACTAAGCAAACAATTTCAATAGTCAGAAAAATTGCTAAAGGCAGCAGCAGGTCATGGCTCACATGTGTCTACAACCACCTCAACCTCCTCTCATTTCATTTATGTGTGAAGACTTAAAGGAAATGGGGGAAATCAATTAGTAATGTGAAGTCTTTACTAGGCAAAATAAAAAAACCTAAATAATATATCTATGCTACACTTAATAATATATCTATGCTACACTTAATAAGAAAGAGCTGTAAAGAAATCAAACCACTGGCCTCAGAGTAAAGGAATTTTTATTTCCTTATTTCTTCCAACTCTTATACAATGGAAAATAACAATTATGCCTGGAAGCTATCTTTTTCACATCAAAATTCTAAAGGTAAAAAGGATACTAATTTTCATTTTAGCATGCATAATTCTGGAAAGCAAATTAAAGTTTAAAAACCATGAGACAGAATAAAACCAATGTGTTTATTATAATGATAGTAGGTGAAAAGAGAAACAAAAATAACCATCAAGTTTTCATATCAGCTATCTTTTATATATATATATATATATATAGTATATCAGACTCTTCTAATGGGCATAAAATTCAAGTTTCAACTTGACTACAAATAACTGCAAGTTTTATGGTTACTGTCAATAATTTGAAAAAATGTTTTTAGAAGTTCAGAGACTAAAGATGCATATATCTGGAATTAATAAATATTATTAATGTAATAATAAATCTTATTTCTATTACTATCATTCTTATTATTCTTATTTTATAGAATTATGGTTAATATTCTTTTTATTATTCCCCATTTTGAGCTATGTGCTTTTAATATTTTTTTTTAAAGATTTATTTATTTATTCATACAGAGCTGGAGTACAGGCCAGAGATGCGGAGGGTGAAAGGATTCACCAGGGACAGAGTGGGGAGCAGAACAGGCAGATCGACGAAGTACACTGCTGAGGAGAGCAGCGGGCGGGTCAGGAGAGGTCTGCCAAGCCATGTGGATCTCCTCCGGGGTAGGCGGGGATTGAACTCATGCGGAAGTGGCTTAATCTTCTTAGTGCAGTGCTTTAACCCGCTGCGCCACCATGGAGGACCGCTTTTAATATTTTTAATAAAATATTTATAAGCTTTGAAAAAACTGTAAACTAATATACTCCCACCCTACGTTGCTCCCATTATTATTCCTATCCCATCTTCCCAGGGACAACTATAAGCACAATTTTACGTATAAATCTTCAGGTCATAACTTTGTATTTTTATCACAGGTAGGTGGACCTCACTGTTTTTTTTTATGAAGCACACACTGTAATCAAGTGATAAATACTAACAAGTGATGAGACAGGATATTTACAATTAACGTCAAACCTCTCACTTACCCCTAAGAATTACATGCTTTTAATGATAGAATCACACTTTCCAATATGAATATCACTAGTAAAATTCCTTTACTATTCCACTATTTCCTTTAGAAATAGCACTAGCTAAAGTGAACTGATTCTGAGAATTTTGCCTGGCCTAATTTTCTTTTTTACAGTATGTAAAACATTCAGTAACCAACAGTAATAATTTTAATTATGTGATTTTCACAAGTGTTTGTATATGAATATAAATTATCAGTATACAAATTTAAAGGAGCAGGAAAGAATACACCAAAGTATATTTATCATCCTGAGTTTACTATCATTTCTGTTGCTTTCTGCTGTTTTCATTTCTATTATTTTAAACATTTCTAACTTTATTGAACCTTCTATATTTTCTATAAGAAAATATACAATATATGCTTAAAAGAAAATATAAATAACTCAGTGATACATTGTTAATAATAGACTAAAAGAACAGAAAATGATTTAAAGAACAGCTGTGCTTTCAGAATGCTTCTCTTGGTAGTTACTTCCTTTTCCCTCCTGGCAACTTCTTAATCAGACTTCATAATCCCCTGACATCAACCTAGATAGAGTCCCATCATTAGTTCTCACTACTTGATGATCTCCAAAAATGGGATCACAAAGCTAGTCTCTACTACTTTGTACTAAACAAATATTGGGTACTCCAATGAACCCATTTATCATGAGTTTATGCGATAACAAATTACTTTAAAGTATGTATTATTTTCTCTTTGCCATTTAGAAGAGCAGTTAATAGATTTGAAGGCTGACTCAAAGAAACATTCTAATATTGTAATCAACTTACAAACTGAAGGATTATTTAAAAATATATGGCTGTTTACTGATAAAGCTTACGCAGCCAAATCTGGCTTTGAAAAACAAAGTAGAAAATGCTCACAAATGAATATGAAGCCCAAAGAACAATTATTAAAATTACAGAAAAATTATATGCAAGGGAAATCTTCATTATTTTTAAAGACTTTAAAGAAAAAATGTCAAATGTATTAGAAATCCATTCTCATTATCATAAGGAATTTCAGCAGGACACCTGTTGATGAATGTTGCTAAGTCTGAAGAGTAACTAAAGAACCCCAACAATTTAAAACTGAATCACCTGTATTCTAATTAAATGTGAGAAAAACATCCCTTCAATTGCAGTAAATATTGTCTGAAGCTTACTACCACCTACTGGTACAGAGAAAGCAGTATTTACATTGTCTTTTTTGGGGATACTGAGCTTTTCCCCAAGACTGTGGAGAGGACTAAAGTGGGTGACCTTGGTGAAAGTCTCTAGAGTATTAGAAAAAACTCTGGGTCTGAAACCAGATGAAACAATTCTTAGAATACTTGGTTTAACTGTTCCCAACATGTCAGTGTTTACAGGCATAAATATTGTTGCTTCTGCCTTAATGAACCTTATCAAGAAGACATACGGCCACCAGAGCGAGTAATGAACTCTCTTCAATTCATTCCTACTGAGGATCTATCCATCAAAAACAAATGGCCATATGCAAACCTGAATACTGAAACCAAAGTAAAACTGCATCCTGCCTTCAATAACTGGGCAGACCCTGAGGCTTTACAAACACAAGTCCACCTCTTGTGTTATTTGATCTAAAAGCCACCAGATCTTCTACATTATGATGCACATCGGTATGTATGAGAGCGGTAATTTATTGATTCTCAAGTCTCTTTTCCTCAGAGCCAGTTTAAAACAATTAGGATTTGCAAGCTGTTCCATAAAAGATAAGCACCCAGCATCAGGGGCGATATTTCACAAAGGCTGATGAGTGCATGTTAAGTAGGTGATTGCTTCTGTGGC